GCCATACGAAGTGACTAAGTCACATATACTAGTTGTGAATGCTCCAACTAAATTTGATATCCTTGTTGGATTCTCTAATATAAAAAAAATGTGTATGAAAGAGCGCATGAAGAATGATAGACCAATCGGTTCCAATGATAAACATCCTCGAGAAAGAAAAGGAGCTGTAATTAGAATGGTCAACTCAGGGACATGAAAACTCAAGAAGAGTAACCAAGAATTAAGTATAATTTTAGTTCCAGAAGAACATATGTCTCTGAAATTTGTGAAAGGGAAGAGATCTCAAAATCATATTAGACTACAATACTGGAACCGAAATGAAGTCATTGTCGACGAAATTTGTTTCTTGTACTTCAGTACTGAATTTGATATCCTTGTTGGATTCTCTAATATATAAAAAAATGTGTATGAAAGAGCGCATGAAGAATGATAGACCAATCGGTTCCAATGATAAACATCCTCGAGAAAGAAAAGGAGCTGTAATTAGAATGGTCAACTCGGGGACATGAAAACTCAAGAAGAGTAACCAAGAATTAAGTATAATTTTAGCTCCATAAGAACACATGTCTCTGAAATTTGTGAAAGAGAAGAGATCTAAAAAACATATTAGACTACAATACTGGAACCGAAATGAAGTCATTGTTGACGAAATTTGTTTGTTGTACTTCAGTACTGAATATGATATATACAAGTGAGGATCAAGAGTAAAAATCTATTGATGCATGCAAATGATTATGTTATTGGCCAATACAGAAAGAAATCATGAAACTTGCTCAAGGAGCATAAAGTTTAAGGACCAGAAGTCCTTGCACCTAAAAAGGGCAAAAATAGTGGGACACAAACAAATTTTTGTGCTATTGAAAAGTATGAAATTGTGAGATATATCACATAATGTTTTGCAATGGGTTTCTCGAAGAGACTTATCATTGTTTAGAAGGAGTTATACTCCCCTGTGGTGGATGCAACTACTTTTTCAAATCAATGTTTGAAAATTGTTGTGATAACCTATTTGTTTGAATTCCCTGAAGATGTTATATATATTTGAAACTCCTAGAAGGATTAATTTACCTAAAGTAAACAAGTAAAGTTCTCGAGAACATATATCGATAGACTAAGAAAACCCCTTGTGTGGGTTGAGACAATATAGACGAATGTGAAATACTCGTCTAAGTGAATACCTACAACAGTAGGGTGAATGGACGTTAAAAGGTTAAATCCAGATAGAGTTATTAGAGCATTTGCATTGTGCATATATAGTTGTGTTGTCTGTATGTGCTTCCAAGGATTTTAAATTATTAATTTATAAGTTGTGATTTACTTTAAAGTATGAGTTGTGTTTTATGAGTGTGCTTTGTCTAGTTCATATGTTTCTATGATGTGTGTTTTGTTAATATCTTTCATGATATGAAAGAATTGCTTGCTTCAATTTGTTTTAGTCAAGTTTTTTTTTTGTGACGATCTCATATTATGTTGATGATATGAGTATTATTGGAGCTCCTGAAGAGCTTCCTAAAGATGTTGATTGCTTAGAGACATAAGTTAAATTGAAGGATTTAAGATCCTTTTTATGGGCAAGGAAGGTAATGTTGAAAAAGTGGGAAGGTAATTTTGCATGAACGAATTGTGTTTATCAAATAACATTAGGATCCTAAGATCACTAGAAGTGACCAAAGATCCATTATGAAATCAAGAAAGAAGTGAAATATTAGGTCCTGAAGTACCATATGTTGATGCAAATGAGTCAAACCGTTCTAGAGCAATTCAATAGTGGAATTGAACAAACAATTCGTCGACACTCTCTTTTTAAACTTCCTAGTGTACTCCGTTCATATTCTCTTCTTCAAATGAATAATTCAGAAATAAATAGAGAGGAGAAGTAGAGAACACAACCAAACTAAATAAAAACTAGAGTAAATACAATTTATTAGTAAGATCTTTCAAAAAGTTTAAATTATTTATGAAAATTTTTTAAATATAAATATTACCAAAATCTACAAATATATTATAGTGGAGTTGTGGAAACTTTTTTAGCATTTCAAATTTTCGACCACGAGAGCGAAAATAGAAAGAATATATTTGTCTTCATAATTATTATTTATTCCTTATTCATAAGAAAAAAATAGATCAGTCTTGTGAATTGAACCATGGTATTTTCATAAATATACAACAATCATTACCAATTACCCTAAAAAAATCTTTTATATCTTTTAAATAAAGAATACAAAATCTAAAATATGAAAATCATACGAATATTCCACTATTTTTAGCTATCCCACAAAACTCTCGTAAGAATGCTTCATATTTGAATTCTCATATTTTGATTATACGAATTTGATTTTAATAATAAATTTAATTTATATCTTATAAATGAAGGATAGTTTTAAAATTGCAACCTAAAAATAATTTATTCAAATGTTGAAAATTGAATTGCAGAATGTGTAGATGAGATGTATAATTCTTAACTTAATATTAATTTTTAGAACAACCATAACGCAACAATATTGTTATGCAAACTATAAGTGATCAGTCCTTTGAAAGTTCTAGTTCAGTGTTTATCGCTAAATCCTAAATCTCTTCATAATACGACATGATTTGACCCATGGGTGAGTTTAGAAGAACACAATTTCTAAATACTAAATGTTCTTATGATTTTACTTATTTAAATCTTTTATCTTATAGAGAATTGACCATATGTATCTTTTAGTATCTTTTTTTACTGGCTCTGGAATTATATTATTGGTTGTGGCAGTGAACGCACTATATCAATTTTTGGCCAACTGCCGGAGAACGCATAACAATGATCTGAATATCTACCCATTATTGAGTGTAATGTGTAGTCTTTGCAGTCTCATTAAGAGTTTCAGTATATTTGCTTAAGTTTGTTTGTCCTAGTAGTGCATACAGTAGGGATAAGGGGAAGGAAAGTTGCCATGAAGCATTGTTTGGCTCTTGAAGCATGTGATAAGCATAATGTGTTTCTAATGTAAGATTTTGGTACATGTTTTATAGTGTTGTTTAACGAATCTAATCTTTGTAATATCTTTTTGCAGAGCTCACATCGGTTGGCGAGGGCCAGACCCCTTCCCTTTAACTTGTCCAGAGTATTGATCTTCTTGTGAAATAGCGTCCAAAGGAAGAAACACACCTTGGTGGGGATCATTTGGTTCCAAATCTTCTCCTTCGGAAAGTTCACCTCCCCCGGAAAGCGAGCATCCCTCATCAACCTGTAGTAAAAGAAAAGTTAGACTCCGGGTTTGGAAGCCACACCAGTCTACAGGGACCGTTAGTAATTCTCCCAACATCATTAGAATTGAGCAAAGCCAAAAGATCAACACTCTCCCTCTCGCCCCCCCCCCCTCCTCTCAAGGTAACATTGAAAGAAATATCGCACCCTAATACCTCACCAGAGCGGTTAATGGCCTCATGAGTTCTAGCAGTGGCAGCAACACGAGGGAAGGAGGAGGCCAGCATAGTACCAAGAAACCAGTGGTCGAACCAGAAAGAGATATCAGAGCCTCCGTCAGGATCGAAACCGGCGGATTTCCAAAAATCACATGTCTCACGTGAAATATTGGCCCAAACTGATATGGAGAAACCCCCACTGATCCTCCCAGATCGCCACGAGGAAACATTGCTTGGGTACTTGATGTCAATAAGGTTGCGCCACCATCCATGTCGCTCGACAGCAAAGCGCCAAAGCCATTTGGAAAGGAGAGCACTGTTAAAGCTAGCTAAATCGATGATGCCAAGCCCACCATTTGACATCGAAGCCTTGCAAGTGTCCCATTTAACCAGAGGGACTTTCGAGCCATCGCCAGTATCGTTCCAAAGAAAATGCCTCTGGGTTTTGTCCAACCTCCGAATCACCAGTTTAGGGGCTTTAAGAAGAGAAAAAATATGTACAGGTTGGCTGGACATGATGGATTTGATAAGCACAAGCCTGGCCCCAAAGGAGAGATATCACCCTTGTAACTTCTTTTGATATTTTGACACAACGGGATCCCAAATATCCACCGCATTAGCTTTAGCACCAAGAGGAAACCCAAGATAGATTGACGGATCTCGACTCCAATTGCATCCAAATAAATCAGCAGAAAACCTTGGCTCGGGAACATCCCCCACAGTATACATCACTGATTTGTTGAGATTAATCTTGAGGCCAGTAATAGCCTGGAAACACACCAACACAACTGAAATAAGGAGAACCTGCTCATGGGAAGCCTCACAGAAGATTAGGGAATCATCGGCGAATAGAGGATGTGTCACCTCCCCGAGACCCCTCTCTTCATCCATACAGAATCCCTAAGTCTCCCCACCTACTTAAGGTTACCAAGCAAAAAAGAGAGAATATTCATGATAAGCACGAAGAGCCCCGACGAGAGAGGATCTCCTTGACGAAGACCCTTATGACCCGGAAAGAAACCTTTTGCTTCTCCATTAATAAGAATTGAGTAGACCGGAGAACACATGACACCCGGGATCTAACCCTGCCACTTTTGGGGGAAACCTAAACTAGTGAGAACTTTAAACAAGCAACTCCATTTGACGTTATCAAACGCCTTCTCAATATCGAGTTTAAACATAAGGTTTTACTCTTCAAAATTGATTACGTTTTACTCAAATATGAACTTCAAAAGGTTTATTCCATGATCCATGTTATATAATGTGGATCGGCTCCAACTATTATCGTAAGATGTAATGAATTATGCTCACATTAACGTTATCCCAGCCACATTAGATACGTAGAATGATAGTTCATGAAGGAAAAAACATATAGGAATACTCAAATTATATGAAAAAGCTTATAAGAATATTTTAAGCTAAAAAACATGCAATTATATTGAAACATGAATTATGATAGCTAGAATCAAAGCCATAGAATGAGGTGCACTAATACACACCAAATTACCTCAACCCAAACATCCCAACCATCATAATTGCTTATTAACCCCAAATTCGCCTCATCATTCACCACAAAACACACAAATCATGACCAAATATCATTTGGGCGGTGGAGGGGCACCAACAGCAGTGCCACTACTACTAGCGCCCGCCGATCCACCTACAGAGGGCTTGGAGTTGTTCTTGTAGGGGATAAACTTCCTGACCCAAACATGCTTGCCGTTGATGCTGAACTTAGCCTTGTGCATCCCCTTGAGCACCATCTCTACGGTGGTCGCCGACCGAAAGATGATTTTAGCGTACAACGACTGCTTTGGCGGCGGCGCCTCGTGCATGTGGAGCGACTCGATGCAGCTGCTGCCGAAGTTCTTGACGAGAAATTCCCTCAGCTCCCTTTCCATAATCGGGTACCCTTTCGAGAACGTCGCGAACATGGTCCTATCATCCCCATCCGCCGTCTCGACCCCATCACTTCCCTGTTGTTGTTGTTGCTCCCTATACCAAACAATATAGTTTTTTTAGAAAGACGTCAATACATTACAACTTGCAATAATAAACATCAATTGTGTAAATAATCATTACTTTTTGTATAAATAATCACCACTACTACATGAGTAAACACCAATGTGGCATGACTAATCATAAATTGGTGTAAATAAACATAAAACTACATGAATTATATGTTGGTGGTGCCTCTAGAGACAACAAATCATGTTCAACGAGAGAAATTAGGGCGTTGTACGCATAATATGTAGACCAATGATATGTTGACACGCTGTGAATAAGCACAAGAAACTAAGGTCAAATCTTGGGACTTTTCCGCCAACAGTCATCAAAATAAATATTTTCCGCTAGAAAAAAATTAGTTTGTTTATGAAATCTGTCAATATAGGAAAAATAATCTGTCTATTAAAAATTTCAATTAGTTATTTGCCAAAAATGAATTCACACTAAAATGGACAGGAGCTCTTTTGTACCTGAGTAAAAAAATACCATAATAAAAAACTTAATATAAATGAATAATTAATTAAATCATAGAAACAAAAATAAAATGATTATGTACCGTTGTTGTACAGGCTGGATCGGCACATCCTTAGGTGAATTGGTAGCAAACGACGCAGAAGGCATCTGCATGGCGGCGAAAGCAGTTGTGGCGGCGGCTGTGGCGGCTGCAGCAGCGGCCTTTGTGGCCTGCCAGGCATTCTGCTCGATAACCTTTTGCATGATATCGCTTAGGGCACGCACACAGACGGTGCTGTATTCCTGAGCTATCTTCTTCCTCGCTTCGAAGCGGTTCTGGAAAAAGTAAGGGAGGGATATGTAGTCCTTGTCTAGGACTGCGACGGTCAGTGGGATGACGTCAAGGTTGTCCGGCGGCGGGATGAAGACGTCAGAGTTGATGCAGCTAAGGCACAGGCTGGCTTCCTCGGCGAGATCGTTGATGAGGGCCCACGGCAGAGACAAGATATTGTAAACGACGTCGCATGGGCAGATTCGCTCCAGCCACAACCAAAATGCCATGATTTGCATGCATTCCATTGGGTCGCGGCACAATGCGATGCTCAAGACGACGTAGAGGTCGCGGTCGATGGAATGGAAGGTGGTGAATTCCTCTTGCGTCACTCCCATTGGGATGGAGATGGTTCGTTAGCCACGGGACTACACAAAATTGAAATAAGGGGAAAAAATACTAATAAGCTATACAATCAACTTAGTTTCAAGTGTAAGTTGAATCGAGAAAAATAAATAAATACTTTTGAAGGTTAAACATGTTCGATAAGTAAATCAATTGGATCGACGATTCTATGGACATATACATCGATAACTAAAGGAAATAAACTGACATTCTCTGCACGTGTCAGATAGTCGTTATAGTATGGCGCGGATGATGAATTGTTTGAATTGAGGAGTGAGTCTTGCAAAATGGAATAATATCATTTGTGGAAAATGAATAACTAATTGCATAGTAGCATGGCATATCTCTTGTTGGAAGAGCATGTTCAATTCAAATTCATGTAATATATTTTTTAATTGGTGTGATAGTAATTAGTATATGTAAATTCAAAATGTTGGAATCTGTAATGATAATATTCAATAGATTCTATGAACAAATTCAGAGACAATTAGAGAAATAAGTCAAAATTTTCTACACACGTCAGATAACTATTATGAAATGGCGTGAATAAGGTGTTTGAATCGAAGGGTGAAATAAGAAAAAATCAATAATATAATTTGTGTAAAATGGAAAAGCTTGCGTACTAGGACTAATCCCTTATCCCTTGATGGAAGAGATTGTTTGGTTTAAATTCATATCGTACCTTTTTCGGGTTGTGAGCAACAGTAATGAAAATTTGCAGATTCCAATACAAGTTAGATGATTTGATGGAGTGTTATTATCTTTATATAGTGAGTTGTTTATATGAAGTTTCCATAAGTTGAAATTGTGTCATATTAGGCGAAATGAATAATTATGGTCATTCACAAAGTTTTTGTAAGCAATATTAGTTGGATACCATTATGAAATTTCTTGTTTATCATATTCAAATTTATCTGTATATGAGAAAGATCATTATTACTCAGGATAACTTTGACATTGGTTTGAATGGCAACAAATCATCTTAAGATTTTTTTTTTTTTCTTTCAATTTCCTTCCATGTCTAAATGAAACGTGAATATCTGAAAATTTATTTTAGCAAAGTAAATAGTTGAGAGCGTACAAGTAGTTAATTTGACTATCATCCTTATAATGAATCAAAAGTACGATGTTTAAGTCAACAGAACTTGCAAATGTGCAATAATTGATGGAATCGATGAAAATAGTTATTTTGTCGTCTCTAAAACTATGATATACAACTTAAACTAGAAGATGTCGCCTTGGTCTTATCATAGTTTCTTTTATTGTCGATGCATATTATCGATGCAATGATTGATGCGACCTTAATCATACATGTTTCCCCCCTTGTATTTTGAGAGTTTCTTGTTCCTTTGGTTTGAAAGTACTCTTTCATATACCCATTTCATGCTTGGTTGAGTTCTTTTCCCCGTATTTAAGGCCCTAGCAGTTAGAGGAAGATTAGGAGTGAGTTTGGGACGTTTGGAGGTCAAAATGGGACGAAAAGGGGAGTTCGCCCCATTGTCACGATCCAGGGGGTGACATATTCTCCTATGTTGTGAAATTGATGAAAAAGGCAGAATCACTTCCCAATGTCACGACCTGACCTTCAATGTCACAACCTAACTGTGGCATTAGGTTGTGACATTCCCCATTTAATGAAACAACGATTTTTGGATATCACGACTTGAACCTTCAACATCAAGCCCCTAACATTGACTCATACGGGTATATTTGGATTTCTGTAAATTCTGAACAGGGGAGCTGGTTTTTTGGATCTCAAACACCGAAGAAATGAATCTTATGAGAGAAAACGACTTGGTAACATTCTTTGAGGTATTTTGGAGGATTTCTTCGACATTGGATCCATGAATCAATCTTAGGAGTGGATATTACCGATCAGAAGAATAATATCATCACCGCAATGAAGTTTTTCATCTTCTCATATGTATTCTCTCTCTCTTCTCTATGGAGTAACTTCCCTTCACTTAAGTTTTGAGGAACCCTAGCTATGCTATATTTTATTGGATGATTGTATGATTATTGATTACTCTTTCTTGTTGATCTTGAATTCGTATTCAATCTATGCATGTTTACGATTCGATTATGCTTTAATCTATATTAAGATATATAATACCTTATTAGGTCAATAGAGCACCATAGATTGAAAGTAGGGGATCGATTTCACGAGAGTGAGTCGATTCATTGCTTTGTATTGGGTGAGAGTCTTGCTGAATAGAGGAAGTCTAGTTCTAATTTGCCTTGGTCTTCTGTCTTAGTTGGGGATAATCTCCCTCTGAGCCGTGTATGCAAGAGTGTTGTTTGCTTTAATTGAGATTCAAGACTTATTAAAGACTTTTCACATTACGAATGAATAATGAAACAAGTTAGAGAATCTTCAATCATTAATTCAGCTAGTGAGGGAATCAATAACTGAGTGAGTTTCTAAAATGTAATTAGTTAGATTAACATTTTTCTATAGTTTGCTATAGTAGTTATAGTTGTTTAATCTCAACCCGATCTGATAAATAATAAACTGAAGCAGAGTAATATACAACTAGAGATCCATGAATTCAATATTTTATTGTTGTACTACTGTACTGTAGTCTCTTTCATTAGTTACACTTGGTCTTTGTAGGAGTAGTTTGTAGTGATCAATTTTTCTATAATCATCTAATCGTGTCATTTAGTGGAAAATGATAACTAATATCATAGGATAATAGACTACTTGCGTTGTTCAAATTAATCTCACCTCTCTCAACTATAAGAATATTGAGTCTGAATGCTCCATTAGTACGATATTACCCGCTTTGGGCCAAGTCTGCATGAGTTTACTTTTGGATTCCTTAACAAAAGGTCTCATACCAATGGGTCTAGGTGGATACTTATATACAATGATCATTTTTCTTGTACTTTCGATGTGGTATTTGAATTGTAATCTAAAACTCCTCCCTAAGATAAGGACAACGATTCTTTCTCTCAACGATTATCTTGATCCACCAGAAACATTGTATCGAAAGGCTCTTCAACACAAGAATTCCCCATATGCATATTACCTTTGATCCTCACACAGATGCATATCTCAATTGTTCCTCAAGAAAAAAACGTGAATCTCAATTTTTGAGGTCACTGAATGTATAAATGAGGGTCCACCAAACTAACCTCCATCGTCTGTATCCACAAATTGAAACCAGGCTCTGATACCACTTGTTGAAACCAGATACTCCATTAGTAAGATATTGTTCACTTTGATCCAAGTCTGTATGGATTCACTTTTGGATTCTTTCCTAAAAGACCTCATACTAATGGGTTAGGTGAAAACTTATATACAATGATTATTTTTCTTGCATTTTCGATGTGGTACTTGGATTGCACCAAAACAATCTTTCCTTCAAGACAAGAACCACAAACTTTTTTCCTCCACTCTGCGATTATCTTGATCCACTAGGCACCTTGTATCCATAAAATTTTCTGTACAAGGATTTACCATATTTAAACCTCCATTGATTTGCCAGAGAGACGCATATCTCCATTAGATTTTCCATATGTGAATAAAAAATCCCCAGGTCACAGAATGAGGGTCTAGCAAACTGACACTCACTGCCCCATATTTGGTATGAACTTCGAAATCACGCTCTGATACCATTTTTTGAGACCGAATGCTTCATTAGTATGATATTGTCCACTTTAGACCCGGTCTACACGAATGTACTTTTGGATTCTTTCCAAAAGGCATCATACTAATGGCATTAAGTGGACACTGATATAAAAAATGTCATTTTCTTGTATCTCCGATGTGATACTTGGATTATATCCTACCAATGAAAATTAACACCAACGTAAAACAAAAGACCACTGCCTATACTACCATATTCTTCAATATTGATTTCGATGAATTTTTTTCATTTCTTTATCTAAATATTGGATCCAAGAGCTTATGTTAAACCATCAAAGATGGTTATATGAGTTTGTATAACATAAACTGCAATAAGAAGTTGAATTCTTATGTGGCAACTATTGTTGTTATGATCTTTTAGTACGGGTTTCGAAACATTAATATGTGATGTGCATCTTTTGGGATTGGAAAGTATGATTTTATCTATTTTGGGCCAGGTTCACATGCACATTTTCGGGAACCTTCTTGAAATACCTCGTACTAATAAAACTAGATGGAAACTTATATACAAGGAAGTATTCTCTTGTTTTATCTGATATGTTACTTTAATTACACCCCCAACTATCATCCATTCAAGTTAAGGATCACAAATGTTGTGCCTACCATAATCCAATATTTGATATGCCTACCTTCTTGGATCGCTAAACATCTCAAACACAAGGAACCAAACAACATCTCCATTTGATAAGCCAATCATCTTTTTTACACATGGAACCACAACAGATATCCAGTTGTGAGGTCGCATATTGAGGGTTCATCTTCCATATACTTGTAGTCCACCGCCTTGGATCTAAAATATAACATCCTTTAGTTTTGATACCACTTGGTGATATCGGACACTCCATATTAGTATGATATTGTTCGCTTTGAAGCAAATCCTTTGAAATTTGTTAGTGGGCACCTTCCCATAATTATGCACTAATGGAGATGGGTGGACACCTATATATAAAGGAACTTTCTTTTTCCCCTTGGTACTTGGATTGTACATCAACAATCCTCCCTTCAAGTCAAAATCCACGACCGTAATTTTCCTTAATTTTCCTATGTGGCACTTAGATTGCATCCTAACAATAGGGATAGTGAATATGTGAATCAGCGGAAAGAAAGCTATATTGGTTAAGAATCCACCTGATACCAGATTGTGAACTCATGCTCTCAGAGGTGGAAACAGACTACGATTGCTTGTGGTCAAATTGCTAGGTCATGGTCATGATTTATCTGAGCTAAGAACTACTGTGTATGAGAAGATCAAACATATTGGGCAAAAACGAAGTGCACCTACATAGAGTTCGTTTGTCAACTAATGTCTAACATTGATTGTGGTGGAAGTGCCATTTAGTT